TCCCCTTACTCTGGCACTGACTCCCACAGAGGTTTCCGCTTGTGGGTTTCTGCTCTGTATTTGTGTCTCTCTCCAATTTGAGGGGCAGGGGTGTGCCTTATAGTCTGACTTATCTTATGCATTTTAGAAGAATTGACTTTTTGGTTTGTTAAAACTTTTTACTTGTTAGGATGGAGTGGCCACTTCCAAGCTTCTTACATGCTGGACTCTAGGAAACACATCAATTAAATCTCTTTTCTTTTTTTCAATTTCATTTTTAATGGAAGAATATCCACATGGATGAATCATGTGCCTATTCCTCTCCCCTCCCACCCCACCTCTCAGGAAACATAAAGTATTTGGAGGACAAGGTATCTGCCTTCTTCCTTCTTCCTGGCTACATTATCTCTGGCCTTCCTCTGCATCTACTGAAAAATTTTTCATTGTACCACAGCAGTGAATTACCAAATTTGGACCTGTAATATTGAATCTACATCTAGCACATGTACCTATATAATTACATTATTTGACTGGTCTGACTCCCCCACTAGGTTGGAGGCCATGATCTAGAAGTGGCTCTGCCCCAGTAGAGGGACATCATTCAGAAATGCTAGGCAGCAGATCACCAGGAACCTGAGGGACTCAGGACCGCAGTGTCCCCTGAAGCCATAGGCGCCGGTCTTTCTCAGGCTGAAATTATACAAAGGTGACCTCTACTGACCAAAGGATAGAACTGCAGTTACACATCATGAGCCCCCTGCCCCGCTCTCTTTCCAGTAAAGGAAATGACCAACATAATCCCTGCTATCTACTAGGCACTTCACATATATTTTACCATGTGTCCTTGGATTTTTAATATTTTCATCTACAAGATGGGCACATAACTCCTACTTCATAGTCGAGGAAAGGGGGGTTCATAGAAGTGAACTGATTTCCTGAGTGCCCAGTGTAAAGAGGTACTGCTCAGATCTAACCCAGCTCTGTCTGAAGGCAAAGCCTTTGCTCTGTCTACCAGTCCCCTGATGCTCAAAGTGCGGTCCAAGGACCAGCATGGGCAAAACTGGGAGCATTTACAATGCAGACTGAAGCCCCACGGCAGATCTACTGAATCTACTTGTATCCTAAGGAGATAAAAATTTTGTCTGTACATTAAAGCTTGAGAAATACCCTGACTCCCAGGAAGTGTTAGGGGAAACTTAGCCTGTGGCCTCCTGAGTAGAAACTGAGTTTTCACATTTCTTCTGTAAGTGTGGATTTCTGGTTATAAAGCATTTGTCATTTTTTCATGCACTATCCTGACACTGGCTCTCCTTTATCCTGGGAGGTAAACAAGGTCAGTGAGGATCAGTCCCACATTAGAGATCTGGAAAGAGCAGCTCAGAGATGGAAGTGACTTGACCAGAGCCACTGGCCGGCTGACATCCCACCACTTGATGTGGTCTGGCTGGAAGGGTAAGCCAAGGGTTCCAGGATCTGATGTTGGTGCCGGCATGAGGGTTGGAAGTCCCTAAACTTATGTTCTGGGGTCAGAAGTCACCAGGCTAAGAGCCCTTTGCTCACTTGTTCATTCATGCATGGCAAGAGGGCTGTCTGGTTCCAATATTACTTCCTGTGTATCCCTGGGTAAACTATGTAACATCTCTCAGCTTTCACTTCTGCATAGAGTTGTCATAAAGACCAAATGTGAATGATACAAGCGCTAGCACAAAGTAGGAAATCAGCAAGTGTTAGCTGATATTCATTCATTCATGCAACAACGATTGAACACTTGCTACGGGTGTTCCAGGCACTGGCTAAGATAACTGACGGATAAGGGAGATGTGCTTGCCTCCATGGAAATTACAGTCTAATGGGGAAGTAAGACAGATACTGATTAAGTCCTTGCAAGTCTTGGCTAAAATGGATGAGTGGATGAATTTGGCTATTTGTTTGCCTATAGCCTAGATGTAAGCTTTTCTTCCCTCTGTTTACTCAGAGAAAGTGAAACCACCCTCAAGCTCCTGGCCCACTAAGCAAGTGTGCAGCATGGCCCAAAGCTATCCCACCTGTGTAGTCTTTTTATTTGGCTGCATAGCATGTGAAATCTTAGTTCCCAGACCAGGGATTGAACCCATGCCTCCTGCAGTGTAAGCTTGGAGTCTTAGACACTGGACCACAGGGGAGTCCCCCACCTGTCTAGTCTTGTATCATGTTTCCTCCTTGGAGACAGTTCCCATCTCCATCAGGAGGGAGGGATCTTTGCAAAATACCTGAGCAGGGTAGACAGTGTGAGAGGGATAGAGAGTGTGGGAGAAGGTGAGCTGGTTAGACTTTTAAGTCTAACTAGGGGCAGCCATTGATGACTGAGGCCATCCGAGAATGCTCTGCTCTCCTCTGCTTCTCCCCCACACCCTGGCCATGCTCCACCAACAATGGCCACTTTCCAGTTCCTCAAACCACCACGTTCCTCCCACCTTTGCAAATGCATTTCCCATGGCCTGGAAAGATCTCTCCACCTCTTCACTTCGTTCATTCCTACACATCCTTCACGGGCCAGCTCATATGTCACTTCCCCCAGGAAACCTTCCTTGCCTCTCCAGAGAAGCGCCAGACCCCCAAATCTAACATTCTGTATTTTCCCTACTTGGCATGTATCACAACTCGTGTGTTTGTATTTGTGATGACTTGCCAAGCATCAGTCTTCCCCAGCAGAGGGAGAGCAGAGCTGGTGTGTTTTGCTGAGTATTTTCTCCCCAGCACTTGAGCACGGTGACTGGCTCCTCAACTGGGACAACGGGGCCTGCTCTCAACACCGGCCTCTGGAAGGACAAACGGGGGATGCTCAGGAGTTTGAAGCTCACCCCAAAACTTGAGGTTGGCGGGTGACATAAAACACAGAGGCCAATGTGTGCCTGCATAGGAGGGCTGTGAGCCAAGGCAGAGTCCCAAGACAGCGGGGAAAGGCTGATGGGATGTGGAAGGCAGAGGTGTCCAGAACCACTTGAGGTTTCCTGCTCGGTAAAGGGGACGCAGTGGGCCCATTCTCAGCTCAAGGGTCATAGATGGTGAAGCAAAAAGGTGCTTGCCACATCCCAACCCCTACTGCCAGCCCCAGTCCGTCTTCCTTCTGCCAATGGCCTGGACTGTCCTTGGCGTCAGACACAGACCACGCAGCTTAGCAGCACAAGTCCCTTTTTTATTAACCATCCTTCCTGGTCTGAATGTGCACAAGTAAAAAAGAAAACAGTAAAATGCCCAGGCAGGGAGGGCAGGGGAAGGGGCTCCTGAGGTTATCAGGCCAGATTCCAGCTCATTTCCCCCTTACAGACCCTCACCTGTGATTGAAATGCAACATGAGGTGGTGGTGCAGCCCTGCTGATGTCCGTCCTCCCAAACCTTGTCCAGATGGGCGCTGGCGGGGCCTGGTGCTGTGTAGCAGGCTGAGAAGACAGCCACGTGGGCCTGGCCCTGGGCGAGCCTCAAGGGGATGTGAGGAGGGGCAAGTCAGCCAGTCTAGGACTGAGCAGAAGTCTATGCGGCTCCAGCCAGCCTCTGCTTCTTATATCTCACTGCCCTGAGATCGTGGGTCCCTCTCATCCCCACTTCGCCATTCAGAGGTTTTGGGCAGGAAAGACCAGGGAAAATGCTGAGTGTTCCAGGTAGAGAAAGCCTGATTTGGTGCCTGGGGTTGGCCTGAGTGGCCAAAGTGTTCAAAATATGAAGGCGGAGAAAATCCCTCCTAACCTCGCATGGGGCACAACCTAGCTATGTCCTTAACGTGATCGACAGGCCTCCAAGGCCAGGCCTAGTGGACACGTGGAGCTGAGGAAGTGGACAAGAGAGGGTTTGGTCCACCCCACTCCCACACTTAGGTGAGTAGGAGAGACTGAGCTCCATAGGAAAATGGGATGGGGGTGAAGAGGTGATGGGGGAAAGGAGCAGACAAGATCCAGACTGGAAGGGAAACTTCTAGGCCAGCATGACTACACTCAAATGTTGTCCAGTCAATGACATGTCAGCTGCCTTTCTTGTCTCGTCTCCGGGTACCTGGCTGGGGTTAACATGGAGGGCAGGGAGAAGCAGCAGCCATTGAAACTGAAGATACCAGACACAGTCACCTTGATCCTCACGAGCCCAGCCCGTGTGGCATTCCCAGCCTGCTCCATCACCCACTCTTGGGCCTCTGTCCCATTTTTAACTTTTTTTCTGGTCACACCTTGCGGCATGTGGGATCTTAGTTCCCTGACAGGGACTGAACCCGTGCCCCCTACATTGCAAGCAGAGTCTTAACTACTGGACCACCAGGGATGTCCCCACTCTTGTTGCTTTGAAAAGAGGGGCCCATCTGGAATCTAAGAGAGAAAGCAGACTCCCCACCGTAGGGAGAGTTCAGGGAGTACTCACAGCACCGTGGCACGGGGCGGCCCCTGGCCCCTGGCTCAGAGCTGGGCTGGCACCGTTTGTAAACATTAGACTTGGTGATGTCTGGGATGGAGGAGCAGAGGGATGCCTGGACCATCAGGTCTGGATAAAGAGGCAGGGCGAGACCCCAAAAGCCTTGGGAAATGTCAATCAGCCATGGGCAAGGGGGCTCTCAGGCTCTCTGCAGACCCAGGAGGCAGTGGACAGGCATCCATCTACCTGCTTTGGTGCACTCACATGCTTTCAAGCTACCTCTGGGACTTGCCAGAGGAAGCCACTGGTGGCTGGGCTGCCGACAGCCTGGAGCAGGTTCTGAGTCCCGGGGTGATGAGCAGAGCCTCTACTCAGGACAGGCTCCTCTGTGGAGGATGGCACCCCTCGGAGCACACTCTTTCTCCAGAGGCAAGTCAGGCTGAGTTCTTTTTTTTTTTTTTAAGACAAAGGGCTGGTTTTAACTAGGGGGAGGGCGAAATCCNGAGGCATTTCAGGCTGAGTTCTTTCTTTGGAGACCTACCGACACTCTTTACCCATGGTGTCCAGACACGGAAAAGTCGAGAGGTGGAGGAGGGGAGGAGGTTCCCCTGTGACATGAGACTTCCTCCTACCATCCATAGCACTGCCAGGATGGGGGAGCAGGAAGGGAGCTGAGTTTGAACTGCCTATAGGGGTGGGGCCTGATTTCACCCCAGAACTGTTCCTGGAAAAGGATGTGCAGATGTCATCCCACCAGTGGAGGGGAATGATGCTGGGCCCAGGGTGGTCCTGAAGCTCTATGAGATGGGTTCCTGGGTCCAACAACAAAGGCCAAGAATTCTCTGGGAGGCAGTGGTTATGCCAAAAGATCCACAAAAATGGCGTTGGCTGTGGTCTGGCCGAAGATGAAGGCTCCCAGGGTGACCAAGAGGACTCCGTAACTGACCATCGCCCACCAGCTGTGGAGCAGAGGGTGAGAGAGGGCCTGGTCAGTCAACCACTCTTGACTTTGCTGACTTTCATATATATGAAAATGCATGTACTAAGTCACTTCAGTCATGTCTGAAGTCATGACTCTTTGTGACCCTATGGACTGTAGCCAACCATGCTCCTCTGTCCACGGGATTCTCCAGGCAAGAATACTGGAGTGGGTTGCCATCTATCAGTTAATTACTGTAATTATTTATACCCCTTGTCCTGTGGGTAGAGCACTTCCTACTTCTCAACAGCTTTCACACAAGGGTTTACGGGGCTGGGTGGATGACTCCTAGACCACGGGGAAGGAGCCCAAGACCTAATGTGATTAGCTGACTGGTCAGGACACCAGGGGCAGGACCAGAATTAGAATGCATGTCTCCTGATGGAAAAGCTGGTCAGGAAAAAGCAAGTCACATGGAGTGATCAATTTTATTAAAAAAGAAGTCAAAAGACATCTGCAAACGTATATATAAAAAATAGCTGCAGGGTTATAACTGGATTTTTTTTGGGGGGGGGGGCTTACCACATGGCATATGGGATCTTAGTTCCCCTACCAGCGATCAAAGAAAGCCATGCCCCCTGCATTGGAAGAACAGAGTCTTAACCACTGGACTGCCAGGGAAGTCCCCACAAAAATTTTCTGTTTTTTTTTTTTTTTTTAAAGTAAGCAACCTGGTCATAACCTCTCTACCATTCAGGAATATCTACATATTAAAAACAATGCAGTGTTTTGCAAAGTGTGGCCTGTACATACAATGAATATTATTCAGCCTTAAAAACAAAGGACATTCTGACTCATGCTACAACAGACAGACCTTGAGGACATTATGCTAAGTGAAAGAAACCAGGTACAAAAAAGAGAAATACAATTCCAGTTACAGGAAGTACCTAGAAGAGTCAGATTCATACAGAAAATAGAATGCTGGTTGCCAGGGGCTGGGGCGAGGGGGAACAGGGAATGACTGTTTAATGGGTACAGAGTTTCAGTTTAGGATGATGCAAAAGTTCTGGAGATGGCTGGTGGTGACCGTTACACAAAAATACGAATGGAATTAATACTACTGAACATTTTAAAAAGGTAAATTTTTTTAAAATGTAGTGTTTTGTTTTCAATAGACTAAGAAATATTGAAAAGGCCTCTATATACTGTGGTGGGAGGGATATGGGGAACAGGGCACTTTCATTCACTGCTACTGGGACTCTTGACTGGTACTGCCTCTAGAGAGGGTAATTTGAACCCATGTGCCAAAGTAAAAATGAGCATGCGTTGTGATAAAGCAACTTCCTTCTAAGAATCGATGACACTAAGATCCTTGAACAGCTGTGCCAAGGTGTATGTGCAGAAGTGTGTTCGCTTCAAGCAACACATTCAAACAACAGATTCTACAGCCACTGAAATAGGAAGCAGTAGATCTTGTGTGGACACAAGAGTGATCGCCAAGATACATGGTTCAGTGAAAAAAAAGCAAGAGGTAGAAAAGTGTGTCTGGCTTGAAATAATTTTTGGAAAAAAACCTAACCAGACACAAAAACCTATGTGTCTGAGTATACACACACACCGCTTTGTGTACACAGACATCTGTGCACACACAGGGACAGTCTACAAGGGCACAGGCCATGCTCATGACATGAAGCTCTCTCAGGAGAAGGGAGAGGGTGGTGGGGAAGGATGGACTTCCACGTTTTTCTCTAAAGTCCTTCAGAAGTGCTTGAACTGTTACAACTACACGTTACTCATTTTAAAAGAAGTATTTTAAGGAACTTCCTTAGTGGTCCAGTGGCTAAGACTCCATGCTCCCAAAGCAGGGGGCCTGGGTTTGATCCCTGGTCAGGGGACTAGATCTCACATGCTATAACTAAGACCCAGCACGGCCAAATAAATATATATATATATATATATTTTTTTTTTTTTAAACAGTATTTTAAAAACTCCTGTTTTCAAAGTACACAGGTCTCCTGATTCTGACCCGTTTAAAGGGTACTTCCCCATCCAGCACCTCCCCGAGAGGCCCACAGGCTGGGCCCTGCTTTACCTGGCTGGCTTGACTTCCTCCATCTCAGAGAGTTTGGCTTGAATGAGGCACAGCCCTGGAAGAGAAGAGAGAGCTTGGGTGGGTCCCCTGGCCCACCGGCCAGCCTCCACCTTGGCCAGGAGACAGGGGAGGTGGATGCAGAAAGGCCTGTGTTTCCTCCACATTTTCCACTCTGCCTCTACCCTGCACCCCGCTGGAGGCCTGGCGACTGGTCTCCCAGGAGAGGTCCTTGGGTGGCACGCAAGAGCTAGAGCTAAAGGGGCGGCACTGGGAGGCGACTCTGTGCTGCCCTCACTGCAGGGCCCTTCCCAATGCACTTCTGAACAGGTGTGGCCCCCTTGCTCCAAGCAAAGTGGCAAGAGCTTTCCAGGTGGCCTCTTGGGTAGAAATAAGCTGGGTATAGGCGGAACTCATGACTGAGCAGGCAGGAAGGTTTCCCGGGGACCTGGTCTCCCGACCTCCGTGTCAGGGTGCCAATGCCAGACCCTAATTACCCTCTCAGGGGCTGACTCAGCAAGATCCCTGACAGTCACGGAGGAATAGGTTCTTGAAATAAGAGTTAAGACTATATAGACTGTGGATCTGGACAGACTTCGGTTTGAAAAGGGTCTGTTATTCTTTAGTTGAGTTTGTTAACCTCTAGGGAAGTTTGTTACCCTCTCTGAACCTCACACCTCCTCGTGGGTAAAATGGAGATGACAACTACACCTTCTTTGCAGGAGGTGATGCTTAAACAGGGGTTCCCACAGAGCCTGAAGGTGATCAATAAACGCTGGTGATTATGCTCCCCCGCAGGTGAGCAAGAGAGGAGCTGAGGCCAGGAGGGTCTGGGAGTGAGTGCTGTGGGGACACCAGGGGTCCACACCTGGGAAGACAAAGATGAAGCAGGCGGCCAGGCCTCCGATGACTGAGATGACCTTGCCGATGTCAGGGATGAAGAGCGCCAGCAGCAAGGTGAGCAGGAACCAGATCAGCGTCTGCAGCACTCGCCGCCGCCGCTCTCGCCCCACGTCCTCCTCCACCGGCATGCCCTGGTAGCGCAGCCATAGGCCTTCGATCACCGCCCTGCTCACACAGAGAGTGGCTCAGAGGAATACCTGCTGACAGCAACCCCCAACTCCAGCCACAGAGCCAGACCCCCAACTGGATGGATTGTAGGTAAGACGATCCCTGAGTCTCAGTCTCCTCTTCTGTGAAATGGGTCTAGTGTCCTTCTTCTCAGGGTTGCCATGGGGACCAGATGGGATGGTGAATGTGAAAGACTGAGTGCCTTGCCTGGTCCAGAGTTTGCACACCCCATGGGAACTGATTCCACTAGACTCCTGGAAAGGGAGGGTCTGGGGTATCCAGAAGACAGGGTGTTCAGGAAGGGACCTGGATTAGAGGTTCTCAGAGCACTCACAGACTGTCCTGGGGACTCTGGGACAAAGGTGGCCCCCCAAGACCTGGCTGGGGGTGCTTGCAGGGCCATCCTAGGCACTGACTGTTTCCTATGGGCTTCAGTGTCTCGCTCTATACAGGACCATGTTCAAAGGGCATCCAGGGGCCCTGGTGAGAAGAAGCACCTTCGTGGGGTGGGGAGGGGCTCACCGTCCGCAGAAGTGCAGGATAGGGTAGGAGGTGAGCACACTTAGGATGATGAAGGCACGGGCCACAGCCACAGCCACGTCCTCCGACGGGTAGGACAGGAGCACGTCAGGGTCCACAGCGACCCCAAAGGTCAGGAAGCCGCAGATACCTGAGGGCGGGGACAAGAGGGCTGGGTCAGAGCGACCCTGGGAGGGTTAGGGAGATGGACCATCCCTTGCTCAGTCCAGCAGCAGATGGAGAGGTGACAGAGCAGCCCTGGAGGCTAAGACTGAGGCTTAGAAGGCTGTCAGGGCTGGGCTCAGAAGCCCCCCTCCCTGACTTCTCACATTCCCCACCCCACACTGTTACCTCTTTGATCTTGAACTCCCCCAGCAGTTCCTGTCTCAGAGCTTCTGCATTAACTTCTGCCTGCCCATCTCCCCATCATTCAGGTCCCAGCTCAGGGGTCCCCCCCTCATCCACAGTGACCCCCGCCCCCAGGCACTCTCTTGACATCACCTTGATCTCTTTTCTTCACAGTGTTCCTCTCTCTTTGGTTTTCCTTTTTTTCACTTGTTTATCATCTGTCTCCCTCAACTAGTAAAAACATAAGCCCCAGAAGAACAGGGCCTCTGCCTATTTGCCCTCCCTTGTTCTTGGCTCTGTATTCCTGGCTGTGTCCGCAGAAGCTAGTACAGAGCTGGTCCTGAGCCTCATTGTGGCAGCCATCACTGGGCCACTCTTCCTGGTCTCCTGGTCCTGCTCCCTCTTCCACACCACTCTCCACACAACACGCAGAGCCAACCCTTCTCCGAGCCACACCCCTGCTGAAAACGCTTCCTCTCTGGCTCCCACCAGTCCTCAAGGATCTGGCTGTGCTCCCTGTTTGGCTGTGCTGCCCACCACCCGCCCCCACAGCTTGCTCCACAGACCACCTTCTGTCCCGGCCTCAGGGACTTGGCATTTTCTCGTTCCTCTGTCTAGAAAGCTTTTCCCCCGGGCTCTTCAGATTCTAGCTCCTTCTCATGGTTTGGGCTTCCCCGGATGCCAGCTCCTCTGAGGGGAGCTGTCTGTGATCCACCCCCTAAAGCCAGCCCCACTCACATCTTCCCTGGTTCACTGTTACCGTGGCACTCATCTGGATTTCCTTACTGATTCCCGGTTTACTCCTGTGAGACTATCTCTCCGAATAGACTGTCAATCTCAATGCAAGCAGGACCAGACCTCTCTCTATGGCATCCCCTCCATGCTGAGAAAGCTCCTGGGGCTGACTGACTAGGCGCCCACTGAGAGCTGATGAATGAACACATGCACTCATCTCTCATCTGGGAAGGAGGATGGAAGGGACCTGGATTAGAGGTTCTCAGAGCACTCACAGATTGTCCTGGGGACTCTGGGACAAAGGTGGCCCCCCAAGACCTGGCTGGGGGTGCTTGCAGGGCCATCCTAGGCACTGACTGTTTCCTATGGGCTTCAGTGTCTCGCCCTATAAAATCGATGTTACACAAGGCCCAAGGACCATGTTCAAAGGGCATCCAGGGGCCCTGGTGAGAAGAAGCACCTTCGTGGGGTGGGGAGGGGCTCACCGTCCACAGAAGTGCAGGATAGGGTAGGAGGTGAGCACACTTAGGATGATGAAGGCACGGGCCACAGCCACAGCCACGTCCTCTGACGGGTAGGACAGGAGCACGTCAGGGTCCACAGCGGCCCCAAAGGTCAGGAAGCCGCAGATACCTGAGGGCGGGGACAAGAGGGCTGGGTCAGAGCGACCCTGGGAGGGTTAGGGAGATGGACCATCCCTTGCTCAGTCCAGCAGCAGATGGAGAGGTGACAGAGCAGCCCTGGAGGCTAAGACTGAGGCTTAGAAGGCTGTCAGGGCTGGGCTCAGAAGCCCCCCTCCCTGACTTCTCACATTCCCCACCCCACACTGTTACCTCTTTGATCTTGAACTCCCCCAGCAGTTCCTGTCTCAGAGCTTCTGCATTAACTTCTGCCTGCCCATCTCCCCATCATTCAGGTCCCAGCTCAGGGGTCCCCCCCTCATCCACAGTGACCCCCGCCCCCAGGCACTCTCTTGACATCACCTTGATCTCTTTTCTTCACAGTGTTCCTCTCTCTTTGGTTTTCCTTTTTTTCACTTGTTTATCATCTGTCTCCCTCAACTAGTAAAAACATAAGCCCCAGAAGAACAGGGCCTCTGCCTATTTGCCCTCCCTTGTTCTTGGCTCTGTATTCCTGGTTGTGTCCGCAGAAGCTAGTACAGAGCTGGTCCTGAGCCTCATTGTGGCAGCCATCACTGGGCCACTCTTCCTGGTCTCCTGGTCCTGCTCCCTCTTCCACACCACTCTCCACACAACACGCAGAGCCAACCCTTCTCCGAGCCACACCCCTGCTGAAAACGCTTCCTCTCTGGCTCCCACCAGTCCTCAAGGATCTGGCTGTGCTCCCTGTTTGGCTGTGCTGCCCACCACCCGCCCCCACAGCTTGCTCCACAGACCACCTTCTGTCCCGGCCTCAGGGACTTGGCATTTTCTCGTTCCTCTGTCTAGAAAGCTTTTCCCCCGGGCTCTTCAGATTCTAGCTCCTTCTCATGGTTTGGGCTTCCCCGGATGCCAGCTCCTCTGAGGGGAGCTGTCTGTGATCCACCCCCTAAAGCCAGCCCCACTCACATCTTCCCTGGTTCACTGTTACCGTGGCACTCATCTGGATTTCCTTACTGATTCCCGGTTTACTCCTGTGAGACTATCTCTCCGAATAGACTGTCAATCTCAATGCAAGCAGGACCAGACCTCTCTCTATGGCATCCCCTCCATGCTGAGAAAGCTCCTGGGGCTGACTGACTAGGCGCCCACTGAGAGCTGATGAATGAACACATGCACTCATCTCTCATCTGGGAAGGAGGAGGCCCAAAATGCCAACACAAGTATTTGACGTGCTGGGAATGCAGGGTTAAGCCCAGGAAATCCTGGGCCAGAGCACTTGGGAATGAGGGAGAGTGGGAGCCCTCTAAGCCTGGCCCTCAGAGGGGAGCACTCACCTGTGCCCATGTAGACAGCGAGGGCGATGACCATGGCGGCTGTCACCACGCCGCCCCAGGTCTTCAGCTCGGGCCGCCGCATGCTGTTGAAGACGGGTACGCTGCTCACGTGACACTGTCAGGGTGAAGGGCAGGGTCAGGGTGGGCAGGTGACCTCATCCCAAGGACAAAGGGCAGAGTCCTGGGGCTCCCACTCAGCTCCCCTTTCCAGGACCACCCGCCCCTGTCCCACCAATAATGTGGACTCCATCCCAGGATGGGGAGTGAGCTTAAAAGGGACCTTGCAACTGGCACCTGAAATCCGAAGCAGATGGTGGGCATGGCGTTGAACACGGCTATCCAGGAAGCTGGCCTGCGGACAGACACACAAGATGCTGCTGCCCGGGAAGCCCTCAGAGTCCCCAGCTGCCCCAGGCCTTTACTCTTGAGTCAGCCCCCCACAGCCCCTACCAGCCAGCTACACACGTCCCGCCCACACAAGTGCGGAGCTGGGAGAGGACACACTCCACAGGTCAGTAAACTGGGGCTCTGGGAGGCCCTCCCGGGACTCAAATCCAGAAGGTTTGGTTCTTGCACTTGGGCTTCTGCTTCTCTGGTTTGTTCCTTTCAAGAAAAAGGGAACCAAACTTCCTCTCAGTGGTAAAAAAAATACACCTTGCCTGCCAATGCAGGAGACAGGGGTTTGATCCCTGGTCCAGGAAGAACCCATATTTCGAGAAGCAACTAAGCCTAGGAGCCACAACTGCTGAGCCCACATGCTGAAACTCCTGAAGCCCAAGAGCCTGTGCTCTGGGCTTGAGAACAAGAGAAGCCACTGTAAAAGGAGCCTGTGTGCCACACCTAGCGAGTAGTCCCCACTTGCCACAGCTAGAGGAAAGCTCTAGAAGCAATGAAGACCCAGCACAGCCAAAAATCAATCAATCAATCAAAAAAAGTTTTAAAGCTTTTTAAAAAAGAAACCTTTCTTTAAAAAAAATTGGAAAATTGATTCATTTTCACAAAGAAGATACAGGTAAGCACATGTTGAAGATAAGCACATGTTGAAAAAATGTGCAGTTACACTTTGGCAGGGTCTATAACCTAAGGCCTAGTCTCACACTGGCTCATCTGTTGGACGTTAATGGCAAAGTGGCCCTCATCTCTGGTTCTTACTCTTTCCTCCAGTAAAAAGAGATCAGGACCTCTTGTCTCCTTCCTACAATGACCAATGAGTCAAACCCCTAATGAGCCTTGGGAATTTTTTTTTTTTAATGTATTTATTTGGCTGTGCCAGGTCTTAGTCATCGCATGTGGCATTTAGTTCCCTGACCAGGGGCCCCTGCATTGGGAGCACGGAGTCTCAGCCACTGGATCACCAGGGAAGTCTCCTGTGTGGCTTTTTGATGCCTGACCCAGTATCTCCTGGGGCCCAAGTGCAGCTTCTATCCTGGGTGCCTCCTGGGGGCCCTCACTCACCTGTTCAGGGTGTCTGCTGGGCTCATCTCTTTATCAGGCCAGATGTATTTGATGATAATGATAGCAGTCACATACCAAGTGCCCACGACGCTCAGGAAGCTGCCAGGAAGGATGAATTAAGCCTCCTCCTCCCTAGTCCCAGCTGCCTCTTCTTCAATTCTATCCCCAGGGACATCCATCCTTCACCTTAGTGACCTAAAGTGTCTAAGGAACCAACTGGGAGATCACTCCAAACAAAAGACTTAAGAAATGCATGAGAAATAAATTTCAGAGAAACAAGCCACAGTTAGGAAGCCAAGAGGGGGCCAGACTGACACGTGTGGCCCCTGGGAAATGAGGTGGTTCAGCTCCATAGCTCAGAGACTGCAGCAGGGGGCGCTGGGCTTCAAAGCACATCTGTTACTTCAGTCAGAGCAGCCCAGTTATGGCCAGAGCTGCAAGCAGGGCCATTGAGAAGCAGGAAAGGCTGGAGGTAGAAGGGTCCAAGGCATTAATACCAGAAAGTTAACATTAAAGGGAACCTTGGAGACACTGAGCGTGACCCCTTCAATTAAGGATCACAGGAAACAGGTTAGAATCCCTGTTTTTCAGATTCTGAGCCAAGAAGCTAGTCCCTTCCCTTCACACTGAGCTGCATGGAAAACGCTGTGAAGCTAACAATCCCAAATGATCAAGAAATCCCATGCTTTGTGAGAAAGACAAGGCCGAGGCCAGGAGAGGCCTTCACACTCAGGATTACTATCCGTCCCTTCTTGGACAAGGACATTTGGACCTGATGCAAAGAGCCACTGTCTCCCTAGCTGATGACACAAAAGGAAGGTCTTCTGCTAGAATCTCTGCAAGCCCTGGTCTGCCCCTGCCTCGTCCCCTTCTTTCTGCCCCTGGAGGCAAGGGAGCATGGAGGAGCGGGGTTCCCCTGCTGCCCTTGGGTCTCTGACTGCCTGTGATCAGAACTGCTGTCCAGCGCAGGCTGGGGTGGGGCCTCCGAACCTGGCATATTTCTGGAAGCCGATCTCCCTGGGTATGGAAAGGGGCAGGATGAAGAGGCAGGCAGTGAGGCTGATGGTGAATTTGCGGTCTGTGTACCAGGGGCTGCCGCTGGCCCCCTCAGGCTCCTTTGCCATCACAGCTATAACTGCAGAGGGAGGAAGGAGAGAAGGTGATGCCAGTCTACTGCAGGGCATGGTCTTCCATCTCTGCCGGGATCGCCAACTGTCTCATGCGCCCAGCAGCCAGGAGGGAGGATTCCCAGATGAATGCCGGGTCCCGGCTTTGGGTGGGTATTCCATGCTCTTCCCTGCCCACTGCAGGATTCCCAGGGCCAAGGGGGAGGGATGAGGTAGATACTGAAGGGGGACCTCACTCTTGTCCTGCTGGTCCCCGATGATGATGAGGAAGGCGATGCAGGTCCCGAAGGTGTAGGTAGCAATGGCGACCTCACACAGCACGCCTGTCAGCTTGCCACACACAGCCCACACCACCTCCTGGTAGGTCCTCTCATTGCTGGCCTGGGAGCAGTAGGCCAGGATGACGAGGCCACTGATGATGAAAACCAGCATGGCCTGCAGGCAGGGTGGAGCAAGAGTGTGTGGTAAAGGTCTGGCAGCAAAGAGCAGCCTGGTTTTGCTCAGCGTTTACTGGCCTGGTGCCCAAAGCCCATTTGGCAAATGAGCCTTATCCTGCAGGGCGATCTTAACAGATTACTGGAATTGAGATTTTTCCTTAAAGACAAAAAGTTTTGAGGAAAATTTCAAACGTGAGCAAAAGTAGATAGAACGGAACAGCGGACCACTATGCACCCATCACTCAAATCTCAAATTCAAAAATCATCAATTCAGGGACTTCCCTGGTGGGCCAGTGGTTCCGACACCATGCAGCCAATGCAGGGAGGGCGGGTTTGATCCCTGGTGGGCAATTAATCTCCCACATGCTGTGTGGTGTGGCCAAAAGATTAAACACAAAACAGTCATCAATTCATGACCAGTCTTGTTTCATCTCGTCCCTCTCCTACTCTGGATTATGTTGAAGAAAATACAAGCTATTGTATCATTTCATCAATAAATATTTCAACATGCAGTTCTAAAAGGTGTGGGCCCGCTTTTTAAACATAACCACATAACTATTAAATATGCAATTGATGTCTGAAATTCCCTAATTGTGAGGAAGGCTTTTGAAACATCATCTGGCCTCAAAGGAAAGAATGCTACAATAGCTTAATAATGCCAGCCATGTGTGGCAGAGGGGACAGTGATTAGCATGTGTCACTGACCACTCCTGATCCAGAGCCTCCCTTCTGAGGCCAGGAGCCCAGACCCACCACTCTGCATTTCTGCCTGCCAGGCCCCCCTCACTCACCATCTGCAACGTGATGCCAGCTGCCACGCCCCCAGCAGTGCTGAAGGCTGCCGGGAAGTTGAGTAGCCCCGCGCCCAGGCAGGCATTGACAACGATGAAGATGGCTCCAAGTATGGAAGTGGTGCCTCCGCCCAGACCCCCAGGAGGGGCCTCCCCCTCACTCTTGGGGGCTATGTCCACAGAGGGACTCTGCAGCAGACGGGCACGCTCCCCAGAGTCTGTGCTTAAGCCCCATTCATCAAGGTCTCTGTTGATGCTGACCTGGGCCATGGCCCCTGGAGTCCTGTTCCCGCAGAGTCTGTGGGTTCTGTCTCACGGCCTCATCCGCTGGGGAACCGAGGGAACACACCTTCAGCTGGAGGGTGCCCCAGACTGTTATCCTAGGTGGGGCTGTTATCCTAGGAGGCCCATGGGTTCTGGCTCTCCTAAACCTAGATGCGAAAGGCAGGTATACTGTTATCCCAAGATAACAACTTTTCCAAGATCAAATGGTCGAGATTCAAATCCAGGTGTGCCAGTGTGTGGAACACTGCACTGGGTGCCACAGGGTAATGGCAGAGACAGACAGATGTCAGATGCAACTCCTGCCTGCTTCAGGCTTACGGACCGACCAGGTAAATAAGACACAAACCCAGAAGAGAGAGGTACCGACATGTCAGCACTAGAAGCCGTGCATCAAGCAGGAGTGTCACGCACATATCTCATTCATTTCTTAGATGACAGTGGTCATAAGGTTCAGAGAGATCAAATCACTCATCTAGGATCACACAGTAGCAAGCTGCAGAGCAAGATTTAGATTCAGATCTGTCTGGCTTCTCAACTGGTTTCTACACCAGAGGGTCTGAAGAACAATCCTCACCTAGAACTGGGTATTTCAGTTTCTTACAGCCTGGCATACCTTCCTCCGGCCCAGAGTCTAAACTCTGTGGCGCTTTCAAAGCCCTTCAAAATTTCAGTGAGGATTTAAATTCTCTTCTCCCACATGACTGACCTCACCACTGCTCATCACAGAGGCATTCCATCTCGTGCCCCCAGCACACTGGGGGGTTTAAAATGTCTAGTGAGGCCTCTTGGGTGGTCTGATTCTTGCCATGGCTCCGCCTGTGATGGCTGAACAAAGTTGGGAGCTGTAAACTCATCAGAGGGAAAAGTGGGCATTTGGGTCCTCTCAACATGTCACCAAGCATGAAACCAAGGGACACAGCTCCAGGGAAAATGTCTCCCTGCTGGCTCCAAATCCAGAAAGATCAGTCAGATACCCCAGGGCTTCCTCTTATGCAACTTGCCACCCAGCCAGCAACTCAGCAAAAAATCAAAGCAGTGAATGAGTACTGGAGGCAGTTTTGGTCTCTCAGGCTTCCAGGGTAGCGCCAGAGAGAACCATGTAAAGCTGGTGCTCCCCACACTGTGAGACCTCGTCCTCCATCCTGCTCACTTCTCAGACACAAGAAGTCTCTGCACTGCTCCAGAATCTCTTAGCCTCCCCTCCCCTCAAATTACTCTGCTCCATGGTCCCCAGCTTACCTGCTCTTTCCACCCTTCTGGCTTTGGTGGACAGAGAGCTATTCCTTATGGCACCTTCTCCCTCAAAATCTGAGATCTGATTCTCCCCACTTCCCTCTCTGCCTTCAATTTTTTCTTTCTCAAACTTCACCATTGCTGGTCAACAGAGTGAAGGCAACTGAGACGCACTCTTAACTCACAGAGTGAAGCACCAGCTCAGTTAGGGAAACAGAGCCATGGAGGGAAAGAGGCTAATGTCCCAGGGGCTCGTTGGCAGTCAGAACTAGCAGCCTAATGCCCAGGCGCTCAGGCCAGGGCTGTAACCACTGCAGTAGGCCCCTGAGAGCCCAACGAGAGGAAGTACCCAGGCCAGCCTGGGGCCGAATCCCAGAAATACGAGGGGTGGGCTGCACTGGAAAGTGGGCCACGGCCTACCCGGGACGGAGAGTGGGCTGCTGTGTGTTAAACTGGGGAGGGGATTCCGGGGCTTGACAGGTGGAGACCAGGTAGGGACAGGCCGGGATAAGGCGCAGCAAGGGCCGGCCGACCCCGGGCGGGCATGGGGCAGAGGATGCCAGGCTGTAGGGCCCTGCAGCGAGTGAGTAGGGTTCTGCCACGATGGGGGCCTTGGGGACCCAGATTCCACCCTCCAGCAACCTGTACCTCCTTCCACCTACCTGCGGTCTTTCTAGCCCCGGCTGGCAGTGGAGACACGTGAGCAGCGATCACATGACTGCCGGGGCCGGGCCGGACCGCCGGGCACGCTGGGAGTTGTAGTTCTCTGCGGGAGTCAGTGTCAAACTGTTGTTCAGTCGCCCAGTCGTGTCCGACTCTCCGACCCCCGTGAACTTCAGCACGCCAGGCTTCCCTGTCCCTCACCAACTCCCGGAGTTTGCCCAAGTGTATGTTCATTGCATCGGTGAGGCCGTCCAGCCATCTCATCCTCTGACGCCCTCTTTTCCTTCTGCCCTCGATCTTTCCCAGCATCAGGGACTTTTCCAGTGAGTCTGCTGCTGCTAAGTCGCTTCAGTCGTGTCCAACTCTGTGCGACCCCATAGACGGCAGCCCACCAGGCTCCCCCGTCCCTGGGATTCTCCAGGCGAGAACATTGGAGTGGGTTGCCATTGCCTTCTCCAATGCATGAACGTGAAAAGCGAAAGTGAAGTCTCACAGTCGTGTCCGACTCCTAGCGACCCCATGGACTGCAGCCCACCAGGCTCCTCTGTCCATGGGATTTTCCAGGCAAGAGTACTGGAGTGGGTTACCATTGCCTTCTCCTCCAGTGAGTCTACCATCTCTCTAATCCTCATCCCCAAAGCTTTGCCCTCGGTGTTTCCCAGCATCAGGGACTTTTCCAATAAGTCTGCTGCTGCTAAGTCACTTCAGTTGTGTCCGACTCTGTGCGACCCCATAGATGGCCTCACCAGACTCCCCTGTCCCTGGGATTCTCTAGTGAAGAATACTGGAGTGGGTTGCCATTAAGTCTACCAGCTCTCTAATCCTCGTCCTGAAAACAGTGTCCCAAACTAGTCTTGGCACCCTGCCCGCCTGTATTTATCCCCTTACTTTTAGTTCTGGGTCCCTTGGCCAAACCACACACTTCTGCTTCCTTTTAGGAAGAGCTTAGGGAGGTTTGGTATCTTTGCCAGTCCCGGTGCCCCGTGGGCCCTGGCTGTTTGGCTTCATTGTCCTCCTCTGTTTCCCTTCTTGCCTTCACACCCACAGACAGGGACTCTGGACTTTTAAACTCAGGATAGAAAGGGGTCATCTGTACCTCCTTGAGCGGTGGCTGGCCTGAGAGTTGTTCATATTAATAGTTATAACCCTAGGGCCTGGATTCTACAACTGAGGATGAGTTGGTGTCACTCAAACAAATATTTGTTGAATGAAGCAATCAGTGTCCAGAGCCCTGGCTTCTGTTTCTGGCTGTGTGCCACTTGGAAGTTGTCACATAACCTTTGGCATTCCAATGATCTCGTCTATATTACCTCCTCTCCATGCACCAAAGGTCCTTGCTGGTGAGCTTCTGTGTACTGCTTACCTGGTTTCCCTCAATAGTGACATTTTGCACAATTACAGTACTGTATCACAACCAGGATACTGACAGTGACTTGATCCACTGATCATGTTCCATTTACTCAGTCACATTTATAGTCATTTTTGGTGTATATTTAGTTCAATACAACTTAATCATGTGTGGGGTTTACAAATATACATACACCACATTCAAGATTCTGAATATTTCCATCACCACAGGGATCCCTCCTGTTGCCCTTATATTAACATAACCACACTCACCTCCCTCCAGCAAGGCCACCCCCTTCTGTAACTCCTCTCAATCACTCACCCATGGCAGTCAACTCCATTTCTAAAAGATTCTAATTTCAAAAAATGTTTTATAAATAGGATCATAAAGTCTGTAAATTTTTAGGATTGACTATTTTTACCCAGCATAATTGCAGGAAGACTCATGCAAGGAGTATATGTTTTGTTACTGAGTAACAATATTCCATGGTCTGTGCACAGTTTGTGCAACTAATCACTTTTGAAGGACATCTGAGCTGTTTCAGGTTTTTTAAAACAAATGATTTTGCTGTGATTTATGAATTTTACCACAGAATTCATACTTTCAGTGCCCAGTACAGTGGTTTTTAGTATATTCAAAGTTTTGCTTGTTCACTACCTAATATCAGAACATTGTTATCACTCACCCCCTAAACCCTGCAACCATTAGCAGTCATTCTCCATTCCTCCCTCTCCCAAGCCCCTGGCAACCACTAATCTACTTTGTGCCCTGCATGAACGGTCTTCAAGATTCATTCATATTGAAGCAAATTTTAGTACTTTATTCCTTTTGATTGCTGAGTATTATTATATGTATGTATGTGTATGGCTATATCAAATTTTGCTTATTCATTCGTCTGTTGATTGAACATTTATGGTTTCCATTTTTTGGCTCTTATGAATAATGCCACAGTGAACATTCAGGCACATGTTTTTCTATACACGTTTTATTTATTTTAGGTAAACACGTAGAAGTAGAATTGCTGGGTCAAATGGTAACAACGTCTAAGCTTTTGAGGAATTGCCAGACTGTTTTCCAAAGCAATTGTCCTATTTTACATTCTGACCAGCAGATGTATAAATGTTCTGTAAGTATAACTGCACGTGTGCTCCGTCGTGTCCAACTCTCGGCAACTCCGTGAACTACAGTCAGCCAGGCTCCTCTGCCCATGGGATTTTGCAGGCAAGAATAATGGAGTGGGCTGCTATTTCCTACTCCAGGGGATCCTCCGAAACCAGGGATCGAACCACCGTCTCTTGTCTCCTGCATTGGCAGTGGATGCTTTACCACTGTGCTGCCCGGGAAGTCTCTAAGGGTTCTAGTTTCTCTACATCCACGAAAACTCTTGCTATTGTCTGATTATAACCATCCTAGTGGGTGTCAAGTCATTCTCATTGTGGTTTTGAATTGCATTTCCCTGATGACTCATGTTAGCATCTTTTCATGTGGTTATTAGCTATTAGAATGTCATCTCTGAAGAAGTATCTAGTCAGACCCCTGTTCCAGTTATTGTTTTTTTATTGAGTTGTAAGATTCCTTTATATATTCTGGATACAAATCCCTTGTCAATTATGTGACTTGCAACACCATTCCCAACATGTTTATAAGGCTTTTAAAAAAAGAAAAAGTTGGTCTTTCAGTTATTAGATAGAAATAAACCATTAATTTCTATTAAAATTTTTCCAATCAACATACTCCAATAAAAATTAATTAAAAAAATTTCCACAGCATAGGAGTAAGGAAAAAATTCTCAAAAACAAAATTCTCAAGTTGGTTGAATGAGCTGGACTTTGGTTGTTTAGAGGTAAGCTTGAGGCAGTTTGGTCTAATAGCACCCAATGGCTGGCCCATGGGTCGGCTGTATCTCTGCATCACCTAGAAAGTTTATTTTTATTATTATTATTAAAAAAAAAAATTCCAAGCCTTACCTCAGACATACTGAGCCAGAATGCCTGGAGGTAAGAGCAGGGAATCAATATTTTAAAAATCCAGATTTGAGAACTATTCTGCCTTATAGTGAAACAAAGGCATGACTTCTCTTTCTGGGCAGGCAAACCACCTCCTCTATCAAGTAGAAGAATATTAACATCTTAGACTCCAGTGGGAAACAAGGAAAAGGTTTGTGGCAAACAGACTGAACTATCAGAAAAACATCAGGTTCACACCCTGCATGACTTTTCGGTGAGGAATAGGACTTAGTCCAGGGTGAGCTGGAAATGGATGTGTTTAAAAATAACAAGGTCGGCCACGTGGTCAAGTTCCTTTT